AATTTGTAGGCAAGTCTCTCTCTTCCTCTAAGAATGTATGCCATTTTCAGCTTTTGATTTAATCACATCTAAAATGACCACCCCCCTCAATATAGGAAACACTCGTTGGACCTAAGAATGAACACCTAGTTATTAAGAGGGCCAGCAATGTATGTTAACCACACAGAGATTAAAAAATTCCCAGCACGTGGCTGTTCAGTTATCTAAGGCCAGACAACAGATATCGTGTTTTTGGCCTCCACTTATATTACTCATTTACACACAGATATCTTTAATGGAAAGCACCATCAATTACCTGGCAAAAGCAGACAGAAAAACTGTACCTACTGTGCATGAGACAGACCTGTGAGATAGTCTTCCCTCTGGAACTGGCTTGTTATCACTTTCTTTACTTTTATCTATCTGTCCCATCAGCCTCTGCCTGCCTTCCTCCTTCCTTCCTTCTCCCCCGCCCCCATTTCCACCTAGCAGATGAGACAGATGGATAGAATAAAGGAGACCTGCTTGTTACTGGTCATTTTCACAGCTAATTTAGATTATTTGGCATACTCCACTTGGGGAATGTAAATAAGCACCAGGGTCACACAACTGAACTATGAAAGCGCAGGTGGCTATCAGAAGTGCCAACTTTTGGTGGTGTAACTCAGTACCAAAGACGGATGCCTCTGAATGATGCTTTAAATGGCCCAGTGTCATAAGGGTGCTTGGCAAATAGCTTTCAGTTTGCCCTTGTGGATTTGCCATTGAATGATGATGAATAGAACCATTTCTGGAACTCAAATTAAAAGTAAACAGAGCGGGGCTTCTCATGTGTAACCAATAAGTTGTGTCCAATTATGACATCAGGGCATTCCAGTCCTTCAGAGTTGTTAGATGAAGTCAGATGGCGGGGAGTCAGGAAGCAGCAGCAGAATCAGGCTATTAAGTGTTAAATGCTACAGATTTAAATGCAGTGTACTATAGCTCTCAATTAAACATGCTAATGAGAGACAGGAGGCATGGAGGAATGCTAACAGTAATCATAAAATATGCGTCCAAGATAGTGCTTTAAATATCCTTTACCATTTAATCAGGGCTAAAAGTGGAGCAGAACGGATGCAATTCTCTAGTTTTTTTTTTTTTCTTCTGAAAATTCTCCAAAGAATTTAGAAGCATGGTGTGGATTGCCAATCAAGAGTAGAAGTTCCCTGAACCTGTAACCTTTGGGGCTGCTCTCCAAACTCCCTGTTCCCTGTAATGTAGAGTTTCCTGGTTTCTGACCCCCACTCCCTACGTGCCAGGATGAGGGCCCTGGTTTGTACTTTGCTGGAAGTTTCCATTAGGTGAGAGGAAGCAGATTCTTTGATTTTTCCAAGACATTCTCTAGGTCAGATAGTGCCATTTTAAGGGCAGGCTACCGACATTCACTGTGGGTCCCTGAATGTTCATTCACGCCTCAAGTCTCCTTCACAAGCCTTACCGTGTTCTCGATGTTTCTAAGCGGCTTCAAGGGTCCCTGGGTGAGTTTGCATTTCCCCGATCTCACGCATTCTGTGTTTCTGTGAGTGAGCTGAAGGTACACCTTCCTCTCAGCTTTCCGAGACCCACCTTCATTTCAAGCCTGCCCCACTCACGTGCCGGAGGAGCGCTTCCTTCTGTCTTTCACTATTGAAAGAGCAGAGAGGGTGTAGCCCGGAGCCACAGTACCTGAAGTGTGTCCTCATAACCCTGTTGCAGTATTCCTCCTTTAACTCTTTCGTGTTCCATACTCGCCTTTTAGCCTGAAGATGTCAAAAATCACCTCTTTATCCAACGAGCATTTCTAGTACCTGGTACAAAATATGAGCTCAGTGGGGACTTGAGTGAGTGAACGAACAGGTTCGCTTTCTCGTGGAATGCACATCTGTGCGAGATTAACAGTAAAGCTGAGGAAGCCAGTGTCCATGGTCAACAAGGCAGGTGTGCTGATGGAGTCATTATTTAGTCAAACTGAATTTGCAGGGTAGGATTAGAATATGCTGTGTTTTCCTTCGCTTAGTTTTGTTTGTCTCAGGCAGGGCCAGGTTGGCGTCTGTCTCCCAGGTGTTGGCTTTGCAGGTGTGTGCTCCTCCCCGCAGCGCAGTGTGCTGTGTTTCCTAAGTGTACTTCACCGCAGGGTCCTACAGTGCTGGCTCTCCACTCGTGAACCCACATAGGGTAACGCTGACAAAGGATATGACAGGGAACTTTAAATATGTGAAGAGCGACTATATTTTTGTAGAGAAAGATGCACAAAGGACCAGGGGATAGGTATTGGGAGGGTGCCCTTTTCTTCTTTGTCAGTGTGCATTTATCGCATCGCTAATGGGCTCCACGTCCCATGAATACTTCCACAGAGGTCACTTCCTGCTCCCTTTTCTCGTTTCCCCTCACCCCTCCTCTCTCTGCTCTTCCTCCTTTCCCCAAGGGTGCATCTTTTTTTAAAGATCTTGCTACAAATCAAAGCAGTGCAAAAATCAAGTCAACAGATGGTATTAGTGACCTCCAAGGTCCATTGCAAAGTTGTACCGTGCTGCATTTTATTTCTCATTTGCAACTTCTTTGCCAGCAAAGTGTCCTTAGCTTCCATATCCACCCACCTGGGCTTTCTTTCAAGATAGATGTTTGTGCATTGTTTGATTTATCTTAATGTTGCCACAGAATTGTAATAGAGACATACTGGCTGAAACAGAGGATTTTTTGTATGCAAACTCATTTTCTTGTTAGTAGAAAAAAGACAATCTTAATGGTAAGACTTCCTTGTGGAAATATGGAGAAACGTGCAATTTAAGAATATGACATAATTGCTGATGCTATCTCAGTATGCTTCCTTCCCTACCGCCTCAGACCCAGAATCCATACTCTATTGTATGGGAAAACTTTGACATATTACAAAATGAGTTATAATCATTTGGATGGTTTTGTTGTGAAATTTGAAAGCACACTGAATAGCTATGACACCATCAGCTAATTATGTTCAATGGTTAGACTGAATTTAGAGGGATATTCCTTTATCTGGCTGTTGCTGTTTACGTTCTTCTGTTGTTTAGCTTGCCATCTGGCCAAACAGTAACATGCTGTGTGGTTAGGAAGCATGCATAGAAAGGTTGTGTCCTTACAGGCCAAAGGGAAGCTGGCACAGTGTTCTTCACATCTATCTATTTATTAATATTTGTATTGTTGTTAATTTTGGGGACAGAGTCTCACTTTTTAGCCTTGCTGGCCTGGAGCTTACCCGGTGTTGGCTGGCCTTGAACCCACACCCCAGACTTCCAGGACTGGTAGGACAAGTGAACCAGCGGGCCTAGCTCCTTCCGGCTTTCTTCATGCTACAGTCTTTTGCCTTAGGTCTCTTTTTGCTTTTGATGTTGTGCATGTCACACGGTGTGTTTTCTTGAAGCTACTGGGAGTTGATTCGTACTTCATGCTACCAAATGAACTAAGACACTTGTTTCGAGTGAAGAGCCTGGACAGAGAGAGCGTGAGAAAGAGGAGTCTCAAGCAGTGCTGTGCAGTAGAAGTACAAACCTCACATGTCATTGTAAAATTTCCAGTAAGCTACAAAAAGTTAAAATTTAGGATTATGTGCAGTTGAATGCAGTGTATACCAAATAGCATCATTTCAACTAGAAGTTATTGTAAAGATACTGTAATTTTTTGAATTATTGTAGGCTGTATTGATTCACATGGTGATGTCTCATCAGAGAGAGTTAATCTCTGTTTGGATTCATAAAACTTTATACTTAAAACATTGAACCCTGATCTACAGAGGCTCTGCAGTCAATGGTTCCTGCCACCCAAGGTTGGCCATGTGAGCTTGGTCTGGGAGGCTCACATGTCAGGAGAAGAGAACTGTCTTCTGAAGGTTGTCCTTTGATCTCTAGACACATGCCATGGTACTGACGTGTACATATAGACACACAGGTCAAACAAATGTAATAAAAAACTGGTTTGTCTACGTAGGTTGTTCCAAATATAGAAGCTTATCAAGTAGTAGTCTGGGTGTGAAAGCATAGTGTATATTCAGCCCCTCACCCGTTGTAGCCACATTTTAAAGGCTCCCATGGGTCACTGTATGTCTAGATCCAGGCTTCCCACTGGATCTTCCTCACTATAAAGTGGGGTTCTGTTGTGTTTGTCTTCTACTTTCCAGTGCCCACCTTCCACCAAGCTTTACTCTGCTCAGCTCAGGCAGTATAAGAAATTGCAAATAGTTGGGATTCATACTGAGAACTCATCACACGCGTGTTGGTAGGTTGAAAAGCAAAAAGGGAATACCGAAATAACAACAAAGTAGTTACACATTAATTTTCTAGTGTCTGTGACCAGACACCTGGCCGAAGAACTTACAGGAAGTGCCGTCTGCTTTGACTGACAGTCTTGCAGCTTCTGGTCTGTATTTTGGCTCAGAGATAATATTTTATCTCTGTATTTTGGGCAGCCGGGAGAATAAAGTATAGTTTTTATCAGCATATGAAGTGACAGGCAGAGGTCAGGGGTAGACACCCTCTGGAGCCTGTTCTACTCTCTCCCCTAACAACCTTTCCCTGTCAGCTCTACACCGAATGTACAGTATATGAGTTGTTGTCAGAGGGGACATTTCAAAATCAAACATGGCAGTTACTGCTCTTGGTAGTAGGGGACACCAAAGGAATGACAGAATCAGCTGCTAGGAGCCTACCCAAATTGTCCAGGTGATAGCTATCCATGTAACCACTGCAGAAAGCTCTGACTTAAGAGTTCCCTAGGAGGTCTCATGCTGGTCCCTGAGGCCACAGGTGGCCAGGTGATGGACAGGACTGGACAAATAGTAAAGAAATCATTTCTCCCTCCTCTCATGAATAGTTTGACAGTGTCTTGAACTGTTAGGACCTCAAAGGAAGACATCTTTTGGGCTCTATACTGGGATTCCAAAGCATGGACAGAAGGTGCAGAGCTGGGAGGAAACAGATGACCAGTTAGTAGATTGATGTTAAGATGCCCTCTCTTCTCACAGTAGCTCACCTACACAGATATCTTAGTTTCAAGGGCTCTGCCTGTGGTCTTCCCATCAGCCATGTGGAACCCACTTGGAACACTTTGGGAAGAAGCTGCCTGGGTTCACTAGAGGTAAGAGAACAACTCCAATTGTCTAGGACTAACCTACACCGGGCCCTGAATTTAGCTCAGTTTGAAATGTCACATGGGGTGGTGACTTTGGACTTGCTAGAGAGTTGTTAAGCGTGAGCCTCTGAAAAGGAATGTTTCGTTATGGCAGACTCTGTATGGCCAGTTCTACTTTCAGAGGTTAACATGATGTGTACAGATGGGATGCAGTGCTGGCTTATGTTCCTAGCCTCTGTGGATTTTTACCTCCCTACAAACAGGCACAAAGGGGGGCTATCCACCTTTGTGTGCTTCATTGGAAATGAGTTTTAAGTGTCTGTCACTGGAGTTAACACAAGAACTCTAAAAAGGTTTTTGGCCTACCTCCCATTTTTGCTGGGCAAGACTCTGGAGTAGCTGGGCTCTTTTCCAAGAAGAAGAGAAGTGGAGCTAGAGATGTCACTGAGAACCCAGCAACAATTGCGACACAATGGATGAACAGGTCAGGCCAAAGCGTGAGCAATGCTTTGCTCCCCCAGCCATATTGAAGGCAAGTGGTATTATTTTTGTGAGAAAGATACATTTGTAGACTCAATTCTGCATATGTTTGAACTCTTTCCAAAATGATATATTCATCAATGCTTAAACCATTTAGGAAGATCTGTTATGGGAGCCACATTAGTCATTTCCTGGCGATGTGATGTGTGTATGTTTGGGTTACAGTACAGTTCTTGGCTTCCTCTGCACACAGCAGTTGCAGCGAGTCTTTGAATTAGCATGAAATGACATGGTTTGTTTTGTTTATTAGACTTGGTCTTTACAAAGCTGGGGCTCATTGCTCCTGAGCCTGTGGTGAATGTTCAACTGTGATAGGCTGGAGGGAGAGAAAAAAGAAATCCCGATGATAGTTTTGACACTGGGTTTTTCATTAAAAAGGAACACAGCCAATTCCCCAGTCACCCTCCCTTCTTGCCACAAAGCAGAAATCAAGCTACTGCAAGAATTTACACAGGGTAAAACCCACTAAAGGGAGTCAGTCCTTTGTACCCGATTCTAGTGTGGGCCTTCCCACCCCAGCCTAGAAGGTAGAAAAACACAATTAGTCTCTTTGTAATTTCTGACACTGCCTATGATTATTTGTCAAATAAAGCAACAAAAGTGGGCTAGAATTTCCCCTTGTGGGTATGGAGGCACAGACTAGAGGGAGCCAATGATTGCACATCCTACATTATTTGACACCCAAGCTTTTGTGCTTTAATTTGAAATTCTCTAATTCCTGGAATCTCTTCCTTCAAGTAAGCCCTGGACAGATGTTTTATTATTTCTCTTCTCTCCCCTCTAGGGCTGTACATTTGGATAAAATATCAAAAACAGTGGCTGTTACCGTGTTCCCGTGCAAACCACTGGAGACAATCAGAGGAATATGACATGTTTAGGAGTCCCTGCCACTGTTGGGCCAGAACACTGGGATCTTCAGGCAGGTGGGTATAGACAGGCTCAGTGTGCACACATACTTTGCTGTGTTCCAAACAAAAGGCTACTGGAAGCAAATGACAAATGTTTGCAAAGAGTCTCAAGACAACCAGGGTTCTTTCTCCCTTTTCTCCTCCTTATCTGTAATTGTAGGATAAACGTTGAATCCAAGACACACTGATAATTTGTGCTTCAATATTTGGAGAGACTGTCTGGTTGGAAGTCACAGCCCCCAGAAAGCAGCCTTCTTTGCTTCTCATGTTTACAGTCTCTTTCCCAATCCCTCAGCTGTGATCACTGGAGACGGTATGCACGTTGACTAGATGCCGTTGACTAGAAGGCCCAAAGACCTGTTAGAAATGTATCCAGCGGATCAGAGATGCCTTTCCCCCATCGTATTTTCTTCTGTGTAACTTCCTAAATATATTTTGTTGTCTTTGTAACCCAGAATTTCTCAAACTCAGCAGGCTTGGAGTTTGGGACTCTGATTCTCCTGAGTGGTGTTCTGAAATTTGTAGGAAGTTTCCCAGCACCCCTGGCCTCAATCTTTTACTCTGAGCATATCTCCAGTTAGTATGCAGGGAGGTAGTGCTAAACATCCCCTTTGGGAAAAATAATCCCCTCTTGAAACCCATAGCCAAATTACAAGCCCCTTTCTTCCAGGCCAGCAAACTACTTTAACGATTTCAAATTGATATATAGAATTCCTCATTTTCTTTTGTATGCCAAGTATTCAGTTTTTAGTACTGACTAAGAAGGACCACATGCAGATATGAGTTTTCCTGCTTGAACTCTCCTGGGTGTCTATGGTGCTTGCTGTGTGCTGATAGTTACCATAGGTAGTAAGCTCATATCCGCTGTCACCTTCCTCAGATAGTGACTTTCTAGCAGTGGTTCTCAATCTTCCTAATACTGGGATCCTTTTATATAATACTGGGACCCTCATGTTGTGGTAACCTCCAACCATGAAATTATTCCGTTGCTACTTCATAACAGTAATGTTGCTACTGTTATGAGTCATAATGTAAATATCTGATATGCAGTATATCTGATAGTCAACCCCAAAGGGGTCATAACCCACAGGTTAGGAACCAATGCTTTATAGCATTGATACATAGCTGGTGGTCAGTAATACAAAGGACTGAAGGAACTGGTGCATTTTCCACATCACAACTCATCCAGAATTGTTGCATGATATTTGATCACAATGTGTGAAAGGCACCATTCTGACTGGTTTAATAAAGAGCTGAATGGCTAATACCTAACTAGGTAGGAGAGAATAGGCAGGACTTATGGGGAGAGAGATGAACTAGAGAAGAATCTAGGCATGTGAGAGATGCCAGGAAGATACAAAGGGAGTCAGACTTACAGAATGGAGGACGTGAAAAGCCACATGGCGCATGTAGATTAATAGAAACAGGTTAATTTAAGTTATAAGAGCTAGGTAGGAATATGCCTAAACTATAAAGGCCAGCTCTCATAATTAATAATAAGTCTCCCTGTCATTATTGGGGAATCTGACAGTCCCAAAGAATGTCTAACTACACAGAAATCAAGACTATTAATCAAATTCTTATAATAAGGTTCCTAATAAGACTCTATAATGGGTACTAGTCTGTCTTGGATATCCTGGGTGCCTATGATCTGCCTGTTACTGATGACATTGGGTTCTCAAAGAGAAAAAAGCTTTATTCCACAGTGGACTCCCAAGCAGGATGGGATTTCTGACAGATTGGCAGTGGTGACTTTACAGGAAGGGAGAGAAGTAGCTGCTTTCTGGGGGGTGAGAGAAGGGACAGCTTACTGTTCTTTTTTGTTGTATAGCCATCGGTCCTTTATAGGTCTTATGTTTCCTAGTGGGGAAAGTCACTGTATTGTGTCTGGGAGATTTGAACTTGTGAAGGTCAGAGATCATGGCAGACAAGCCAGCTCCCACTGTGTGTGTATGTTACTAGAAAGTGGCTTCTGAACCACCCTTGACTGGAATCTGGAAGGTTCTTCTGAAAGGTGACTTCAGAACTTCATTTGAAGACTTTGTGTCTGGGCCTATCTAGATGTCACCAATTTCACAGTCACATGCTTTATTGAGAGCAGAGGAGTTCTCCATCTGTGCAGAGAGGCTGAGGAACATGGCAGCTTGAGAGGAACATGGCTCTCTAGTCACAGCAAAGGTGGAAAGAACAAGACATATGGGCCTCAGATAGAAGGGAAGAAAGACAGGGAATTGTAAATAGAGACTTCTCATCTTGCCCACCAATTCCCAAATAACTTCTCTAAGGTTAAATATTAATTATAATTGTTTGGCCAATGGCTCAGGCATATTACTAACTAGCTTTCACAATTAAATTAACTCATTTAGTCCATAGTTAGTCCAACTCATGGCTTGTTACCTTACATCTTGCCTCTCCTTGTGGCTACATGGTGTCTCCCTGACTCCACCTCCCTTCTCTCCACATCTTTGTTTGATTTTCCACCTGACTCTATTCTGCCTGGGCATTGGCCAAGTCAGTTTTATTTGTCAACCAATAAAAACAACACATATTTACAGTATACAGATGAACATTCCCTTTTAATACTGGAAATAGATGAGACTTACTCATCTTCATACTTTGAGCCCAGTAAGGGCTGTGTGTTCTGAACTTATGCTTTGCAGAGCTGTGAGATAATGCATTTGAATGACTTTGATCAATCAAAGATTTGTACTAATCTTTAAGAGTGGTTATAGGAATTGGTGGATGTACATGGGTGATTGTTGTGTGGCTTTATAAAAACGGTCCAGACAACTTCCTGCACTGACTGTGCTCTTACTGACTTTGAAGTACAATGGTACTGATGGAAACACAAATTGATGTGTACCTGCCCATCCACTATTGCCTTTGTGGGAAGACATCTAGATTTGAAATTTACAAAGATAGAAATCAATAGACAAGCATTTCTAAATTTGGCAGTTTAGAGAGATGGTGGAATGATAGCCACAGAGGAGAGGTTTTTCTGAAGGATGCTGGAGTGTTTTGGCTATTGTGGATGTTTCTAGAGTGTTTCCAGAGAGTTATCTGATGGCCTCACAGTATGGTAGCACTCAAATGAAACCAAAGGAAAACTTCGTAGCCATGTATGTTCCAATTCTTTGCAATGCTTGCTGGTAGTGATCATGTGTATCAGTCTCTTTTTGGTTAATGTGACTAAATTACCATGACCCAAGTCAACTCATTGCACAAGAGTTTATTTAGCTTATGGTTCTGGGGACGAGATTCCATGGCAGTACCAAAAGCATGGAAGCAGGCAGCAGGAGCAGGAAGTTGGTTTGATCACATTTTCATCCACACACAGGCTACAGAAAAAGATAGTGAGAAGTAGGGTAAGTATCTAAACCCCAAACGCCTCCCCCCTCAACAGTGACATACTTCCTCCAGAAGGGGTATTGCACCTCCAAGGTGCTTTTTTTTCTTTTGGTTTTTCGAGACAGGGTTTCTCTGCATTGTTTTGGAGCCTGTCCTGGAACTTACTCTGTAGACCAACCTCCCAACCTCCAGCGTTCTATAAATTCCCAAACAGCACCACCAAATAGGGACCAAGTAGTTAGATACACATTTCTCATTCAAATCACAAGGTGGTACACATCAGGGAGTATCACTTTTTTTAAGCAGATTCAGAGACTGAATCTACTGAACTTTATCTGTATTTCTGACACATATATAAAGATCTTTCCTGATTTCCATCTCTGAGCACCCCATGACATTTCTGTGTGGGTTTTGAAGAGTCCTGATGGCAAGGAGAGAATGAATCATGGGACTTGTTAAGGGTGTTGAGGGAAACTTTACTCAAGGCAGATGCTGCAGTGTGGGCTTTGCAATGGGAGGAGACAGGCATAAACCCAGAGTTCAACAAGGAAACGGGAGGGCTTAATGGGTGGGAACACTGGGGCAGAAGGAAGATGGCAGCTAAGCTGACTTGATAGAATACTTGTTGAAGAAGGACTATTGTAATGAGGCGCTGACAGTGGCCTGAAGAGTTTGGTCATGTACTATAAGTAGGAGAGTTCTGCTAAAGTTTCTGAGCAGGACTCTTACAGCAGCAGGACTGAGCCAGCCAAGGATAGAGCCAGGGTTAGTTTCTAGAGGAGGAGAGACTCCTGGGGGTCCCTTGAAAAAGGCACTGCCTGATGATTGGAATTTGTTTCCAGAGGCCCACACGGTAGAAGAACTGACTCCTACAAGCTATTCTCTGACCTCCACGTATATACCACAGTGCATGCCACCCTGAGTGCCCTCCCACCCCCTGCAAATAAAATGTGGTAAAAAGAAAACCATGAGAAGGTAAAAAATAATTCATTGTGGAATTGAAATTTGAATATGAAAGATGGAGTGCTACTAAAGGATTCAAGAATTTTAATCCCTGATTCTTTTATCTTAGGAAAGTTAAGTTTTGATTTTCTTACAAACCCTATTTCTAGGCTGAGCTAATGGAGAGGCAGATTTGAAGAGGGGTTGAGAAGGTCTGTACATGCTGTTCTGTTGAGGTATTAGGGTGAGGGATGCCCAGAGCAAGGTCAGGATAGTGCCCGCAGTGTCCTGCATGCTCTGCTGTGTGGACAGTGAGAGGTGGATCTTGCGGCAGGTAAGCTCTCAACTGTTCTGGTGGCCATGGTGGTGATTTGCCAAATATTCTGCATCACGTGGCAGTGGCATCCAGATGGAATCTGGTCCCCTGGTCCCATTTCTGGAGACGGATGCATTTGATTAGCATCTACTGAGAATGTGCTATGTTGTCTAAGTGGCACATGTCACACTGCCTGAAGGGACAGCAGCTTGGCAGAGTTCCAATGGCCCAGCTGGGGACAGATGTCCTGATTTCAGGGTTCTGACTACTTTCTCACCTAATGAATCATCATTGAGACAGAATCACAGCATATATACTTTACAGTGGCTACATGATGCTTTTAAGAGGAATACCAACCTATTTACCAATATTCTCTGATATAGGAGGGTGATGAAGCTAATGCCATTTT